CAATTTATGCTGCATGCAGGGATGCATGCAGGGAAATGTATTGCATGCACGCAGCCAAGAAGAGTAGCAGCAATATCTGTTGCTCAAAGAGTATCAGAAGAGTTAGATGTTAATTTAGGACAAGAGGTTGGGTATACGATTCGTTTTGAAGATAGAAGCTGCAGCAGCACAATATTAAGATATTTAACGGATGGTATGCTATTAAGAGAAGCAATGACAGATCCTTTATTAGAAAGATATAGCGCTATTCTTTTAGATGAAGCACATGAAAGAACTGTTGCAACTGATTTATTATTTGGTCTTCTTAAAGAAGTCTCTGCAAGTAGGAAGGATCTTAAAGTCGTTGTTATGAGTGCTACACTTGATGCTGAGAAGTTTCAGAAGTACTTCGATGGGGCACCTATTTTAAATGTTCCGGGTCGTATACACCCCGTTGAGATCTTCTACACTCCGAAGCCTGAAAAAAATTATCTTGAAGCTTCTATTCGAACTGCTCTACAGGTAAATGCTGCTTTCTTCTTTCTTTAGCTATATTTATATATATATATATATATATGTATATATGTATGTGTATATGTTTGTTTATTATGCTTTCATTTTGGATGTCTTTAGCTATGTTTTTATCTATGAAGCTTTTATTGTATATCTCTTCAGCTGTATGTGTATATATATCTTTATAAAGCTTTTATTTAATATATATATATATATATATATAGTTATGATGCTTTTACTTTGTATATATATATATTTATGTCTATATATCTTCATATACATTATGTATATACTCATAAACACGAAAATATAAATATAAATATTCATATAAATACATATATAAATATAAATATAAATATAATTATATATAGAAATGTATGTATGCTTACGCTCTCTCTTTCTGTTGTTGTTTATATATTATATGCTGCCTATTAATAAATTATATATATATATATATATAAAACATATATATGTATATTAAGTTAATATTTGTATAAGTAGAAGAAAGCTGAAAATGTCTAAGAAAGCAGCTTGCATGCAAGACGAAGGAAATGTTTGTGTATATGTTTATGTAGATGAATATATATATAGGTTGAAATATTTGTGTATATGTTTGTACAGATTCATTTAGGAGAGCCTCCAGGAGATTTATTAGTTTTTTTAACAGGAGAAGAGGAAATAGAACAAGCAAAGAAAGATTTAGAGAAGGCAGCTCAAAGACATGCAGATGCAGGAGAATTAGTTGTAATACCGTTATATTCTTCTTTATCTCCTGCACAACAACAAAAAATATTTGAGCCTGCACCTCCAGCGAGATATGCTGGAGGACCCCCCGGACGTAAATGTGTAATATCAACAAATATAGCAGAAACATCTTTAACAATTGATGGCATTGTTTATGTTGTAGACCCTGGATTCAGCAAACAAAAAGTATATAACCCTCGTAGTAGAGTAGAAAGCTTGCTTGTCTCACCTATTTCTAAAGCATCTGCACAACAAAGAGCAGGAAGAGCTGGTCGAACAAGACCTGGGAAATGTTTTCGTCTGTACACTGAAGCTGCCTTTCAATCTGAACTCGTTGATCAAACTTATGCTGAAATCTTGCGGTAAATAGACACCCCAATTATACGTATTATATTTAATATATATATATGTACAGGCATATGAAGCTTTAGGGTTTAGGGTTTAGGGTTTATGTTTTATATACTTGTGTTCTAAGTGTTTATTTTTTAAGCCTTTATATTTTTATATTTTATATTTCAACATTTTATTTTTCAACATTTTATATTTTATATTTTAGGGTTTAGGGTTTAGGGTTTAGGGTTTAGGGTTTAGGGTTTAGGGTTTAGGGTTTGTGGTTTGTGGTTTGCAGTTCGAATTTGGCGAGTGTGGTGTTGACTTTGAAGAAGTTGGGGATTGACGACTTGGTGCATTTTGACTTCATGGATCCGCCAGCACCTGAAACACTTATGCGCGCTTTAGAACAGGTTTGCTGCTGCTGCTGCTGCTGATTATGCTGCTGCTGATTATGCTGCTGCTGATTATGCTGCTGCTGATTATGCTGCTGCTGATTATGCTGCTGATGCTGCTGTTGCTGATTGCTGATGGTGGTGATGGTGATGATGATGATGATGATGGTTTTTGTTTGTTTTGTTTATTTATTCGTTTAGTTATTAGTTTTTGTTTATATATATATGTATATACATATATAACTTTATGTGGTTTGATGTTTTTATACCCATATATATATATATATGCATGCATATATAATTATATATGTTTATATATATAATATATATAATATATGCATGCATGCAGCTGAACTACCTAAACATAACAAAATACACATAAGTATAACAAAGTAAATAAATATATATATATAATATATATTTGCATGCAGCTGAATTATCTGGGTGCGTTGGACAACGAAGGAGAGCTGACGAGCGAAGGAGAGTCAATGGCTGAGTTCCCTCTGGATCCTCAATTAGCGAAGTGTTTAGTGGATTCATCGAAGTATAATTGCAGCAAAGAAATGCTGTCTATAGCAGCAATGTTATCGGTACCGTTGGTGTTTCTAAGACCAAAAGAGAAGGCAAAGCAAGCAGATGCAACAAAAGCAAGATTTGTTCATTTAGACGGCGATCATTTAACTCTTTTAAATGTATTTCATGCATTTATTCAACATGGAGGCGGTAATACAGAAGCTGAGAAACAATTTTGTTATGATAACTTCTTAAATCCTAGATCTTTAGCAGCAGCAAAGAATGTTCGCATGCAGATACAAAGGATTATGGAGCGGCTGGCTTTACCGATTACTTCAGCCCCATACACTGAAAAGAATTATTATCCTCAGATAAGAAAAGCAATTCTAAGCGGTTTCTTTATTCAAGTTGCATACTTACAAAGAAATGGTAGTTATATGACTGTTAAGGACGGACAGCTTGTAGCATTACATCCTTCTTCTACTCTTTCTCATAAGCCTGAATGGGTTCTCTATCATGAATTTGTTTTAACTTCAAAGGCCTTCATCAGGACTTGTACACAAGTAAGAGGAGAGTGGTTGTTGCAGCAAGCACCGCATTTCTATGATCCTGAGGAGTTCCCGCCAGGAGATGCACGAAAGCAGCTTGAGAAACTTAAAAATAAACTTCAGAAAGAAGCTAATAATAATACTACAAGCAGCAGCAGCAGCAGCAGCAGCAGTAATGGGGGAAGCAGCAGCAGCAGCAGCACCACAAGCAGCAGTGTTACACCTACTACAGCGACGCAGCAGCAGTTTCAATATATGCAGCAGCAAACACCACACGCATACACCAACGGGGGAGGACACCAGCACTCCATCTAAATGGAGCAGCAGCAGCAGCAGCAGCAACAGCAGCAGCAGCAGCAGCAGCAGCAGCAGCAACAGCAGCAGCTGATGGTGGTGGTGATGGTGGTCTCTTTGCTGCTGCTGCTGCAGCAATGGGAGCAGCAGCAGCAACAGCAGCAGGAGAGCGGCAGCAGCGGCAGCAGCAGTTGGTGGTTGCCTCTTTGCTGCTGCTGCAGAAGGCCATCTCCTGCTGCTGCAACAGCATGCCGTATGCTGCTGCTGCAGCAGTGGGAGCAGCAGCAGCAACCGCAGCAGCAGCAGCTGGTGGTGGTTGCCTCTTTGCTGCTGCCGCTGAAGACCATCTCCTGCTGCTGCAGCAGCATGCCGTATGCTGCTGCTGCAGCAGTGGGAGCAGCAGCAGCAACAGCACACTATCGCTGGCCTATTACTACAACATCAAACCATCTGCTGCAGTAGCAGCAGTGGAAGCAGCAGCAGCAGCAACAGCAAATCATCTGCCGCTGCAGGTGATGCTGCAGCACCAGCTGCTGCTGCGGCTCTTACAGGCTGCAGCAGATGAACAGCAGCAGTACCAGACGTACTGCTAAACCCTAAACCCTAAACCCTAGAACTGCGGTGCAGCAGAAAGGGAGGTATGATGGTTTAAATTATTAATTTTAACTTAACTTTTTTTTTCTTCATGCAAAAACACAAGTACACAAATATAGACAGCCGACGCAGGCAGCAGCAGCAGCAGCAGCAGTAGTAGTAGTAGTAAAGTGTATTGCAGCAGCAGCAACAGCAGCAGCAGTACAGTGTATTGCAGCAGCAGCAGCTGTAACAGCAGCACGGTATGATGCACTAGCAGCACCCTGAAGCGTTTAAGTAGTAGTAGCAGCAGCATGATGTGCTGCAGCAGCAGCACGATATGGTGCCGCAGCAGCAGCAGCAGCAGCAGAATGATATGCCGAAGTAACAGCAGCAGCAGCAGCCCGACGTGTTGCAGCAGCAGCAGCAGCACGGTGAGTTGCAGTAGCAGCAGAAGGAGCAGCAAGAAATGCGGCAATAACAACAGCAGCAGCACGACCTGTAGCAATAGCAGCAGCAGCAGCACGTGTGTTGCAACAGCAGCAACAGCAGCATGACGCGTTGCAGTAGCCGTAGCAGCAGCAGCAGCAGCACCACGCGATGTATTGCAGCAATTTCTGCACCAGCAGCAGCAGGATGTGCTGCTGCAGTAATAGCAGCAGCAGCGGCAGAATGCGGTGTTGCAGTAATAGCGGCGGCAGCAGGATATGCAGCAGCAGCAGCAGCAGAACGATGTGTTTCAGTAGCAGCAGCAGCAGATGCAGCTGCAACAGCAGCACCGTGGGTGAATATCTTTGCTGCTGTTTCTTTCAACAGGAGAGGGAGTTGCGGTGTATGCACACGGCGATTCATTTGCTGCTGTTGCTGCTGCTTCTGCTGCTGCTGTTGCTGCAGCAGCAGCTGCTGCAGCTGCTGCAGTTTGTAGGTATATATAACTGGAATGAAGAGCAGCAAAAGGAAACAAAGAAGCGGGTATATAAATGCACATAAAAAGAGATGTATATACACCTCAAAAACTAAAAAGGGGTATTAAAAACCCTCAAATAAGGGTTTAGGGTTTAATGCAAAGTGATTAAGGTTTAGGGTTTAGGGTTTAGGGTGTAGGGTTTAGGGTTTAGGGTTTAGGGCTTGCAAGGAACAGAGCCTCGTTGTGTTGAGGGGCTGCAGCCCAAAGAGTAATTTTCTTTTTGTTTTATTTATCCCCTTACGCGCGTATTATTGCTTACTTCAAGGGTTTAGGGTTTAGGGTTTAGGGTTTAGGGTTTGGCGGCCGCAGACGACATCTTACTTGGGGGCCCCACCGGCGTTGGTGTTGCTGCAGCAGCAGCGGTGTCTTTGTTTGTTTGCTTCCTTTTAATTTCTTCTTTATTTGGTTGCTGCTGCTTGTAAAAGAATTGCAGCAGCAGCAGCAACAACAACAACAACTGCAGCAACAGCAGCGAAATACGCCGCAGCAATACCCAATGCAATTAGCCTAGCGACGACGCTGCAGCAACAGCAGCAGCAGCAGCAGAGTAGCAGCAGCAGCAGCAGAGTAGCAGCAGCAGCAACACAAACCCCCCTGCAGCAGCAGTATCAAAAGGTGCAGCAGCAGCAGCAGCAGCAGCAGCAGCAAACTGAGGCGGCGGCTACACCCCAACACCAACCACAGCAGACACCGCAACGCAGTAGGATTTAGGGTTTAGGGTATAGCGTGTAGGGTTTAGGCTTCAGGTTTTAAGGTTTAGGGTTTAGGGTTTAGGGTCCAGGTATTAAGGTTTAGGGTTTAGGGTTTAGGGTTTAGGGTTTAGGAGATGGACGCGGCTTCTTCTGCTTCTTTCTGGGCATTCTCCGCCACCCCCGCTTCAGGGGGCCCCCACGGTTCTTACTCCTTTGCAGGTAAACAGCAGCATCAGCAGCAGCAGCAGTTGCTGCTGCTGCTGTCTTCGTTGCTGTGTGTACGGTTCTACGTTTGGGTTTTGCTGCTGCTGCTACTGTTGCTGTTGCTGCTGCTGCTACTGTTGCTGCTGCTGCTGCTGCTCTCGCCTGATCTTTTTCCTCATTTTTTCATCGTCTTCCTTCTTTTTTATTCTGCTGTTGCTGCTGTTGCTGCTGCTGCTGCTGCTGCTGCAGGGGGTGAGCGGGCAATAAAAGAATTAGGTGGCGGCGCTTCTTCTTCATTTGTTTGGATTTGCTTCCTCGCTGATTTTGATTCGGGGACATCTCGGGTGTACGGACTCCCTGTTCGCTTAGCTGCTGCTGCTGCTACACCCAGCAGCAGCAGCAGCAGCAGCAACAGCAACAGCAGCAGCAGCAGCAAGAATAAGACACTCAGGATATCTTTAGATTTATCTCTAAGCTCAAAGGAGCCTCTATTTCGTCTCCCCCACAACCAAGTGGGAGTACTGTCTCTTCCTGCTGCTGCAGCACCAGCAGCAGCAGCAGCAGCAGCAAATGCAGCAGCAGCAGCAGCAGCAGCAGGCACAGCTCCTCATCCCTTCCTCCCTATCCAAAGCCCAGCAGATGCACCTCCCCTCCTAAACAGCGGCGCTTTGCTGCTTATACACCCCGATGATTTAACTGAAACCCCTTCAGCAACAGCAGCAGCAGCAGCAGCAGCAGGGGAGCAGCAGCAGCAAAGCGCTTCTCTAGACAGCGAGTCTTTAGAAAGACCCGCAAAGAAACCGAAAAAGACTACGCCTGCTGCAGCAGCAGCAACAACAGCAGCAGGAACAACAGCAGCAGCAACAGCAGCAAAAGCGGAAGGCCACGACGAAGCAGCAGAGAGAACTGCAGCAGCAGCAGCAGCAGAAGCTGCATCAGCAGCAGAGCCTGCTGCAGAAGAAACTGCGGCAGCAGCAGGAGAAGCAGCACCAGCAAAAGAAACTGCTGCAGCACCAACTGCTGCTGCTGCGCCATCCTCACCCCCACCCCCAGCAGGAGCAGCAGCAACAGGAGCAGCAGCAACAGGAGCAGCAGCAGCAGCAGCAGCAGCAAAGAAGGTGGCTCTAACGCTAGAGGAGGAGCTGCAGCGGGAACGCCTACGAAGACGCACCACAGGAATAACTGAGTATAAGACAGATAAAGCAGCAGACAGCCTGCTGCTCTCTAATGCAAAAGTATTGCTCCTTCTAACTCTTGCTGCTGCTACTGCTGCTGTTGCTGCTACTGCTGCTGCTGTTGCTGCTGCTGCTGGTGCTACTGCTGTTGCTGCTGGTGCTACTGCTGTTGCTGCTGCTGCTGGTTCTACTGCTGTTTCTGCTACTGTTGTTGCTGCTGTTGCTGTTGCTATTGTTGTTGCTGCAGTTGCTGTTGCTGCTGCTGTTGCTGCTGTTCCTGCTGCTGCTTTTCGTTTCATTTTCCGATGTTGCTGCCTCTCATGCTGCTGCTGTTGCTGCTGCTGCTGCAGGGCATTTGGGCTTGTGAGGCTCTGGCGGGGCTGCGGCCCTTGCTGCAGCAAACCCCACGGCCTGCGCTGCACTCAGCAACAGACTTAGCTGGAGCTGCTGCTGCTGCTGCAGCAGCAGCAGCAGAGCTGCCTAGACACTGGAGCATCTCCGCGGAGGTGCTAGCCCTCCGCAATCTCGCTGTGCAGAAGCCCTCTGCTGCTGCTGCTGCTGGAGGTGTAGATACTGCTGGTGGAATTAGCAGCAGCAGCGGCTCTTCCCCCGCTGCTGCAGCAGCAGCAGCAGCAGCAGCAGCAGCAAATGAGGTGCGTATACACCCCAGCGGTAGACTGGGGGCTGTTGCTGCTGCTGTTTGTTTGTTAGAGAGAAAAGACAGCGAACCCCCTATTCTTAACTGTACATACAGCCCATGCAGCAGCTATGTAGCTTTTCTTCAAGGCCGGGACATTCATTTGCTGCTGCTGAGCCACGCTGCTGCAGCATCTGCTGCTGCTGCTGCACCTGCTGCTGCTGCTGCTGCTGCACTGCCAGCTGCAGCAGCAGCTTCGGGGAAGGAAACAGCAAAGAAACTGCAGCAGAAAAAAGGCGTAAGCAGCAGTAACGGACCTCACCATGCCAGCAGCAGCACCACCAAGACCAGCAGCAGCAGCAGCAGCAGCAGCAGCAGCAGCAGCAGCAGCAGGAAGCAAGGAGGCATTCGCTGCCGCCTCACAGCTTCTCCCCCAGACTTCCGCAGTGGGGTTGCTGAATATGTCGCTCAGGAAGAAATGAACAGAATGGAAGGATACTGGTGGTCAGTATGCTGCTGCTGCTGCTGCTGCTGCTTTTGCTGCTGCTGCTGTTGCTGCTGCTTCTAGTTCACTGATACTGCTGCTGCTAGTTCGTTGCTGCTGCTGCTAGTTCGTTGCTGCTGCTGCTAGTTCGCTGGTGCTGCTGCTAGTTCGCTGGTGCTGCTTCTAGTTCACTGATGTTGCTGCTGCTAGTTCGCTGCTGCTGCTGGTAGTTCGCTGCTGCTGCTGCTGGGCTGCTGCTGCTTCTATTTCTGTTGCTGCTGCTAATTCGTCGTTGCTGCAGCCGTTGGTGGCTAACTGCTGCTGCTTCTGGGGCTGCTTATGCCGCCATTGGGCAGTCTCAATGTGATTGCTGCGAAGGGTTCAGGGTTTAGGGTTTAGGGTTTAGGGTTTGGGTTCAGGTCGCCAGACAGTCGCTTCATTGCTTTTGCTGAGTTTACTGAGGCCCACATACCGCCAGTGCTGCTGCAGCGGGTGCTGCAGCCTCCACACAAGCCGCCGCAGCAGCAGGAGAAGCAGCAGCAGCAGCAGCAAGTGCAGCAGCGCCTGCTGCAGCAAGACATGCAGCTTGCTGCTGCTGTAGCTGAAGACCTGGAGAACAGCACCGCTGCTGGAGGCCTTTCGGAGTTTCTACAGCAGCAGCAGCAGCAACAGCAGCAGCAGCATGAGCAGGAAGGAAAGCAAGAGAAGCAAGAAAAGGAGCAGCAGCAGCAGCAGCAACAGCAGCAAAAGAAACGCCGCACGACATCTGCTGCCAACGGCGTGGAGGTGGTTAACCCCAGACACTCCACAGCGGCCTCCAGCAGCAGCAGCAGCAGCAGCAGCAGCAGCAGCAGCAGCAGCAAGAGCTTCTTGGTTACCGAAGAGCACCGATTCCCCTTCGCTGGCCAGCAGAATGTCAGACTTCGTATTGGCATAGCGCAGGTAAACCCTAAACCCTAAACCCTAAACCCTAAACCCTAAACCCTAAACCCCTCGACGCGACACTATTTCCACAGGTCTTACATCTGCTCTCGTGTGCTTCTGCACTGCTGCTGCTGCTGCTGCTGTGCTGAACAGGTACCTAGCGCAGCTTCTCTGCTGGCAGCAGCGGACTCCCCAGCAGCAAGCGGCCCAGCAGCAGCAGCAGCAACAGGGGCAGACGGCGTGCGGGAGGTCTCTTGCTGCACCCGCTGCCGCAGCGTATGCAGCTGCAGCAGCAGCAGCAGCAGCAGCCCTGGGGCTCCCGGAATGAAGATGGCGTCCCCTTCTGCGCGGACCTCCAGAAACACCAGCAGCAGCAGCATCAGCAGCAGCAGCAGCAGCAAGAGAGTGTGCAGCGGCGTAAGGTTTGTAAAGCTTCCTGTCTCTGAATGGGGTGACGAGTTTTACTTAGCGAGGGCCCAGTGGATTGAGCTGAGCTGCTGGCAGCAGCTCGAGGCTCTCCGGCTTCTATCGCATGAGGAAGTGCTGCTGCTGCAGCAGCAAAAGCAGCAGCAGCATCAGCAGCAGCAGCAGCACAAACACCAGCAGCAGCACAAACACCAGCAGCACAAACACCAGCAGCAGCAGCAGCAAAAGCAGCAGCAGCAGCAGCAGCAGAAACCAATACCACCACCACCTGTTTTGCTGCTGCAGCTGCAAGACCGAATGCAGCAGGAGCTGCGCATTTGTGCTGCGCTGCCCTTTGCTGTCCCTTCCCTCAAATCCAGCAGCAACAGCAGCAGCAGCAGGAGCCGGACCAAGAGCAGCAGCAGCAGCAGCAGCACCTCTAGGAGCAAGCAGCAGAAGCAAGAGGAGGAGACGGAGCAGCAGCAGCAGCAGCAGCAGCAGGAAGAAGAGGAGCTGCGCTGTGTCTGCTGCTACACCGAAAAGAGAAACACTTGGGTGTCTGTACACTCCGATCTTCATCAGTTAGGCAAAACTCTGTTCTACACTTGGAGCAGCGATAAGCATTGCTATAATCAGCTATTCCTACACGTAAACCCTCTCAACCACTCACTGCTGCTGCTGCTGCTGCTGCTGGGGAGGCTGCTGCTACTGGGAAGACTGCTGCTGCTGCTGGGGAGGCTGCTGCTGCTGCTGCTGCTGGGGAGGCTGGTGCTGCTGGGAAGCCTGCTGCTGCTTCTGCTGCTGGGGAGGCTTCTGCTGCTGCTGCTGCTGGGAAGCCTGCTGTTGCTGCTGCTGCTGGGGAGGCTGAGTGCTGATGCTGCAGCGGTGTTTGTCCCTGCTGCGCGGGTTTTGTTCCTGCTGCTTCCGTTGCTGCTGCTTTTGCTGCTGCTGCCTCTGCTGCTGCTGCTGCTGAGACTGAGGTTGTTGTGTATCACTAGAGTTGATGCCTCGCTTCTGCTGCTGCTGCTGCTACTTCTGCGTGTACTAGTGCTGCAGCAATTTCTTTGAAGTTGCTGCTGTGGTGTGCGGCTACCCTGTGTGCATTGCCGCTGCTGCTGCTGCTGCTGTTTGCATGCATTTTGCAGCACTTAGCTCGGCCTGATATTTCTTTTCAGCTGCTGCCTGAGGGTGAGGGTTTGCGTCTTTGTTCGTTGCTAGCCCCTCCGCAAAACTACTCTTCTTTCTTTGCTGCCAGTCGCAAAGCAACAGCAGCAGCAGCTGCTGCTGCTGTTGCTGATGCTGATGCTGCTGCTGATGCTGATGGACCAGCAGCAGCAGAGGAGGGAACAGGTGCTGCTGATGCTGCAGCACCAGCAGCAGCAGCAGCAGCTGGTGATAAAGCAGCAGAAGACGAAGAAGATTTTTATTTCTACATGCGAGTAATACCCCAAATACCAGAAGAAGTGCAGTGCAGCAGCAGCAACAGCAGCAGCAACAGCAGCAGCAACAGCAGCAGCAACAGCAGCAGGAAGTGCAACAAGAGCAGCTTGTTAGCTGGCAGCCTTTCTCCGGTGTCTGGGCACCTCATATGTGCGCGTCTGTCTCATGATATTCTTAGCAGCATCGAAGCAAATCTGCATGCTGAAGCAGCAGCAGCAGCAGGAGCAGCAACAGCAGCAGCAGGAGCAGCAACAGCAGCAGCAGATAAGCCTCACAAGGCAAGGAAACCCTACCTCCTAGCTAAACCCTAAACCCTAAACCCTCTTTAAACGTTCTGCACACAGCAAACCCTAATAAGCCCGCCTGCATTGAAACCGTAAGCCCTCCCTGACGTTCCAGCAAACCCTAAACCCTAAACCCTAAACCCTAAGAGGAGATGAGGGTTTGCATGCGTGCAGATATTTAAGCTGGATTTACCCTACATCTTCCTCTCAAACCCTGCGGTGTCTGGACAGCACTCTGCTGCTATTTGTGAGGGTTTACCTCTTTGGCTGCATATACATCACTCTGTTGAAAGCCCCAGACAACTCTGGTAAACCCTAAACCCTAAACCCTAAACCCTAAACCCTAAACCCTAATCCCTTTCTTACCAATGCGCATTTCCAAACCCTAGGCAAAAACCCTTTCCCCCTTTTCTCCCAGACAGAGGCGAAAGAGGGTTTAGGGTTTAGGGTTTAGGGTTTAAGGGTTTAGGGTTTAGGGCTAAGGGTTTAGGGTTTAAGGGTTTAGGGTTTAGGGTTTTGGGCTGTATGAGCAGGGTCCGCTACATGCCAAACATAAGAGAGATGTTTGCTGCTGATGCTCGCGGGGAGTGCTTATACACCTCAATCGACGAAGCAGAAAACAGCAGATATACTCTAGAGGCAGCAGCAGACTATACGCTGCAGCAACTGCAGCAGCAGCAGCAGCAGCAGCAGCAGATTCCAGAGTCTGTTCGTGCGGGCCTTCGTAAGGCATTTTTTTATTATGGAGATGCAGCGGGCTGCGGTCAGGTGAAGTTTTATAAACCCTAATTTATTATAAACCCTAATTTATTATAAACCCTAATTTATTATAAACTGATTCAATGTAAACCCTAATTTAATATAAACCCTAATTTAATATAAACCCTAATTTATTTTGGTGGTTAGGTAATCCCCAGAGCTGTTGTCTTTGCGCTCTCTTCTGGCGAAGTTTAGGGTTTAGGGTTTAGGGTTCAAGGTTTAAGGTTAGGGGTTTAGGGTTTAGGGTTTAGGGTTTAGGGTTTAGGGTTTAGGGTTTAGGGTTTGTTGTGTGTATAGGTGGTGTTTGAGAGTCAGCATCAGCAAACACTTTACTCTCGAGCTTTCGCTCAACTGCAGCAGCCTTCTTTCTTTTCTTTTAAGCAGGAGCAAATTAATATTATCGGCGCTCTCTATAGCCCAGACCCTGCAGCCCACGGGCCCCGTAAACCCTAAACCCTAAGCCCTAAACCCTAAACCATAAGTTCTAAGCCCTAAGAGGGGATTGAGGGGGATGAGGGGTTGTTTTTGTGTGCGGTGTAAACCCTAAACCCTAAACCCTAAACCGTAATTGAGTCGTTTAGGGTTTCTTGGAGTGTGCATTTCTTCACGGAGCTGAACTTAAGCAAATAAAATAAATAAAATAAAATAAAATAATATTTATTTGTTTATTTCTTCTTTTTCTTTCAGCTCCTTACAAAGGGGTTGTCTCTACCTATGGAGGCCCCTCTGTGCAATTTGTCACAGACAGCTGGGAGCTCCGCATAGACCCCAGGGCTCAGGCCCTTGCAAAACTAGGTAAACCCTAAACCCTAAACCCTAAACCCTAGAGCGTGTGCAGCCATCAGCCGTACACACATCAAGCTTTATATCAGCTATAAACCCTAAACCCTAAACCCTAGATCCTGTGCAGCCCCAAACCCTCATCCCTAATCCTTCTTTGGCCTGAAGCCTATTGTTTATTGTTTACGGTTTAGGTTTTATTGTTTATTGTTTATTGTTTAGGGTTTAGGGTTTAGGGTTTAGGGTTTAGGGTTTAGGGTTTGCGGTTTAGGTTTGCTGGTGATAAAGACCGACAATCGGGGGTCTTCAGGGAGAACAACAGCGTTTGAGAAAAGCATTTATTTGCTGCTGGGTCATAAAGAAGCAGCAGATCAAGCAGCAGCATGCCGCTACCTCAGCAGCAAGGGCTTATTAAAGCTAACCAGCAGCAGCAGCAGCAGCAGCAACAGCAACAGCAGCAGCAGCAGCAGCGGGAGCTGTTGTGAGGAAGAGCAAGAGATTAAAGAAGGTGTAGGAATATACGGGGTTAGTTATGGGGGCTATCTCAGCTGCATGTCTTTGCTGCTGCACCCCGATGTCTTCTCTGCTGCTGTTGCAGTGGCGCCTGTTACTTTCTGGGAGGTAAATTAGGGTTTAGGGTTTAGGGTTTAGGGTTTAGGGTTTACTTGTTGTATCTTTGTTTTCGTATCTTTGTCTTTATGCTGCCTCTTTCTCTGTTTTTTTTTCTGTTTTTTTGTATTTGTTTGTTTGTTATTTCACTTCGTTATTTTTATTTTAGTTGTTTTGTTTATTTTATTTGTTGTTGTTTATTGCTTGTTTCTCTCTCTGTTTTATTTTTAGTTTTATTTTGTTTATTATTTATATTTTTGTTTTTATTTATTTCTGTCTCTCGGCTGTATATTTTTTTGTTTTTTGCAGCTGTTTGCATTTTTTATTCTTTTTGTCTCTTCTTCTTTCTTTATCTTTTATTTGTTCAACTCTTTATCTCTCTCCGTCTCTTTTGTTTATTATTTTTATTATTATTATTATTGTTATTATTATATCTATTATTATTTTCGTGTTATTATTATTGTTTGACTTTTATTTTATTGTTATTCTGTGGTTTTGCTTTTCTTTCTTTGCTGAGCTGTCTTTGTCTTTCTTCACTTCTTTCTATCAACGCTGCATACCGTTGCTCATCTACATATCTGCTGCTGCTGCTGCTTCTGCTGCTGTTTCTGCTGCTGTGCCTGCTGCTGTTTCTGCTGCTGCTGCTGCTGCTGCATGCAGGGTTATTCTACTCATTACACGGAGCGTTATTTGTCTTTACCTGAGAAGAATGCCTTGGGTTATAATTTATCATCAGTTTTGTCGTTTATAAAAACAAAGAAAAAACAAGAAGAAGCTCGTTTGCTGCTGCTGCACGGAGCAGCAGATGAAAATGTTTTGCTGCAGCACTCTTTGGTGTTTGTTGATGCTCTTATTAAGAACCAGGTAAATAAATAAATAAATAAATAAATAAATATTATATATATATATATATATATTTATTTATTTGTTTTTCTGTTATATATATGTGTTATATATATGTAATATATATATGTTATATATATGTGTAGGCTTCTCTTCGTATTATCTGTTGTATATATAAAATATATATATATATATATATACGTATAGAATATATACATCTATATATATATATATATATTTCTTTTATTTGTGTTGTTTTACTGCATTTCTCTGTATTACTTTACTAAATTTATTGATGAATTTATTTGTTGTTTTTTATTTATTTTGTGTATTTTGTTTATTTTAATTATTTGACATTATTTATTTAACATTCTTTTTTTGTTATTTTGTTTGGGTTCTCTCTTTAACATAATAAATTTCTATCTTATTTCTTATATATATATATATATATATATTTCTTATATATATATATATATACATTGATATATATATATATATATATTGCATTATTGCATTTGATTGAATAGCTTTAACAATATATAGTAAAGCAGTAATCTAAACAAATCCTATACCAAATAAGTAAATAAATAAATAAATAAATAAATTAATTAATTAATTAATTAATTAATTAATTTATTAATTTATTAATTTATTTTATTACTCAGGTTGGGTTTGAATTCGTCTGTCTTCCTTCTTCTCGTCATGGCGCCTCATCTCTTGCTGATGCATCTTTATTGCGAATTCGTTTGCTGCACTTCTTCTCTTCATTATATCTTCAACGAGATAAACGACCTAGAGATAATTATCAAATTAATAATGCTTAAACAGCATTCTATTCATCATTCTATTTGTTTATTTACTCCCTTTATATATATATATATATATATATATATATATATATATGTATA